TTATATTTGATTATGTTTATCTACAGTTAGTTATACAAATTCAAACATGAAGTTTTTAATAAGTTGTACTTATGTGTGCTTTGTTTGTAATCTTGAATTTTAGGTACTATGGATCAATAAACGATAGTTCATGAATAAAAAAATTGATTTTTAAAAATTTTTGTTAAATATTTTATTAGTGTTATAAGTAATTTTCTTTTCTTAATTATAATTAAAATATGTGGAACTTCAAGATTTATTCTAAAAAGTGCTCCTGAGAATAGAAGAAGGTTCGATCAAATAAATACAAAAACTAGCACACATCAAGACACATAATTTATAAATCAAACATGGACGGCTACTAGGCACACATGGTGTCACATCTTTTGTTTTTTTTTCTTTTGCCATTTTAAATTGCATTAATATGAAATTCATTCAATAATTTATAAAATTTAGCGTACCTACAGAAGTTTAATGCCATTTGATAAAAAGGATAATGGAATAAAATTAAGGTTTTAAATGACATGACATATGGTCTGATCGAAAGGTCAAACTTAAAGTCTCACACGTCACGACAATGACACGACGCGACGTTCTTTAAGGTATGGTATAAGACGACAAATTTGTATGTCATATATATAATTGTGTGTGTATATATATATATATATACATACATACATAGAGGAGCGATCAAATGAAAACCACCCTCATTTGTAAAAACCGTACAAACCATCCTCATACGTCGATTTCATTGTTTAATCTTATGAAATTTTTTCATGAAATTGTTAAATATTGTGAAATTGTTTCATATAATACTTTTTTTGATGAATTTGTTTCATATATGGTTATGAAATTGTTTCATATAATACTTTTTTTGATGAATTTGTTTCATATATGTTTATGAAATTGTTTCATAATATTTAATGAAATTTTAATAAAACTGTTTCATGTATTTCTCTAAAATTAAAATAATGAAGATGATAATATCCATAATCAACACCCTTCACAATAAAAATGGTTAATCAACCTCTTATAATTAAAAAAAATGAACAAAATGAAAAATTATTATTGGTTGAATGAGGTTTTCACGGTTTTTACAAATTGAGTGGTTTTTATTTGAA